CAGAAAAGTATTTTTACAGATGTTGCAGATCTTAAAATCAGCTAGAGGAAGATTCTGTGTTCTTCCAAACTGGGAAGATGAATGTTTAAAAACCCCATTATTTTTAGAAAAAGGTAATGGTGAGTTTCCGAATGACCTTGGGAACCACACACTTTTAACAGCTGAAGAGATGCAGTGCTGCTTCCCATGTTTCAGATTTATAAATGCTTTCACTCATGTGAGCACAAACTGATGTTAAGTAGCCATTAGTTGTAGAGGTACGTGGCAATGGCAGGTGGGAGGAGCTTTATGCCATCCTTAAACACTTTGCAATTGCTGAGCTGCTGTCTACGCAGTATTCAGTGCATTTCTGAAGGACAAAAAATATCTCTTCCACCCATTAAGTATGTTCCTGTTCCCTGTACACAAGATAACTGCTTCCTTTGTTAGAAAATTTCTCTTCTGACTGCCTTGGAAAAAAGAAAAAGGAAAGTATTTGTATTAATTTTCCCTCTGAGTAACAAGTACCAAACCACAGGTGATAAATATGCTGAATGGCTGACTATTTCAGGTCAGTGGCATTACAATACAGAAAAAGGTGCTCATGCATAAGGACAGGCTCCAACCTGGGTCCCTAGATTGCTGTATTTCCCTTATCAGACAGGGGATCTAGCCACTGAAGAATTAATTTGGCAAAAATTTCATATCTTTTTTTCAGTACAAGACCCAGTTAAGGTCTATGGCAGCTTCAGCTTAACACAAGAATCTTAAATTGAAAATTAGTTACCAAAACTATGAAACTTATGTTCCAGATGTAACACAGCAAAATCTGCTTCTGGCAAAGCTGAGGTAAATGCCCACACTCACAAGCGCAGCTCAAATTTGGCCACCTCAAGAGGTTTTGGGTTCCTCCAGCTGCCCTGAACACATTGGATGCTTAGCTCTGCCCTTGCTCAGGTGAGGTACAGATCTTCTGCACCAGGTTCCTTTGCCAGTAAGGAGTAGCTACAGTAAGACAAGAGAGGACATCTCTGCTGGAGCCAAGTCAAGTCTGCAGGGGCTGGAGATCAGCACCAAAAATGGGTGTGCACCCTAATCCAGTTATAAGAAATGCTGTGCTGCTGTCACAGTGCTGCTGCACAAGGAAGCTGTCAGCTCTGCCAGCTCGGGGGCTCAAACTCCATTATCCCAAAATTGCACTTTGGTCCTTCCCTGATGCTCCTGGGAATGACTGCTAAAATTCAAAAGGAGACCTTGTGAGTAGTATAGATGGTGTCATGTTGTGGAAATGTCTTTCAGTAAATCACAGGTTTTGACTCATCTGAATTATGAATAATCACTCAGAGTACCTTTCAAAAGCAGTATTTATTTTTTTCATCAAGATAAGACACATTACATATTGAAAAAAGTAAAACGTACTGCTAGGAAAGCTGCATTTAACTGAGATAACAAAAAAATATACATGATTGCACTTGAGAAAGTAGACTCTATCCCAGAAGAATATAGTAAATAAAAAGCTAACAAGTGGTTTGAAATTAGGACTCTTTCTGAATTGCCTTTGAAAATATATTTATTTTGGAGGGTTCCAATTCCACCAATAAAACTGAACGAGATTAGGTTTCTTAATAGCTTTGATCTTTAAGTTAAAATAGTATGTAAACAACATAATTATTACATGGACAAAAGAGGGAAAAAAGTATGGAGAAACACCTCTGCAATTTCTGCTAATAAATAAAAAGGAAAAAATTTGCTGGTATTTGGTTTCAGCAGAGTCACTGAAGCTTAGGGCTAGGGTCCTGGGGACTTTTTCTTAGTTCACATGTATGTTAGCACACCCACACTGCAAAACAAAGCCCATCTTTGACCCTCCTGCAGTGTCCGGGAGCACGCTGTCTGTATGGCAGCTTGAAGCAGTGAATGGTTCCATTAATTACTAAGTGTCCCTGGAGTAATACTTTAAATTTTGCGACAAGCTTAGCCTATATCTAAGAAAGTAAACCCATCATTAGGCAAGAGGATTTTTTTACCTTTATCTGAATTTTTCTGCTGGACCCTGGCATCCACTGCTGCCTTCATCTAATTCAGTCAGCTGAACTATCAACTGTTCAGTCTTTAAAAGTAATTTTCACACTATCTCCCTCTGTGTATCACTTATGTCCAAATCAGATTTCTAATCTTTCTATACAATCAAAAGAGAAAGAAAACTCCACTCTGGGCTATTTCAACCTTGGGGCCAAGGCAAATTATGGGAGAGCCTCTCCCAAATGCCTGTAGGGGTAACTCAGGCTCTCAGATGTGGCTGGATCCCCAGATTAGGAGGCATAAACACCCCTCACAACACGTGGCTGTTGGGGTGGTACTGAGTGAGCAGGCAGTGGTGTGTGGGACACGCCTGGCACAGTGGGTGCCTGCTGCACAGCTTTCCCTGGGGGTGTGAATTAAGGACCACTCAGAGCACAAAGCCTTGTGAAACTGATGTTTCCTACAACCAATGCTAACTAGAAGTCAGGCATAATTCAGTCAGTGATATACATTGGAGTACAACTGTCTCAAAAACAATCCATACTGCCAAGGTCTCGCATGCAAATTTCTTCCAAACTTAGCTAAAAATTATGGAAGGGTTGGGTCAATCTTGTTATTAAGCTAGAGACAGAAAAAGTATGAGATGTTCTTTAAATAGCCCTGAACTACAAAATAAAGCTGGTAATCTTTGGTTACAGGACTTTTCTTTAATGTGAATTGCTTTGAAAAGTGATGAATCACTTCCCAAGTAAGCATTGAGGAGCATTTTTAAATAGACATCTGGGAGCCAGAGAGGAAAAATTAATATAAATAACAAACCCCCAAACTTTCTGAATCTCAAAGGCTAAAGTACAGGAAAGAAAGTAACACAACATTTCTAAGGGATCCTTCAGCAAAGTTTTGCTAAAATTACAAAAAAATCACAAAATACTTGAGCTGATGAAGAGGGTAAGTCAGAATATTAGAGCACTTTTGTAACAAACCTGTAGAGTGCTAAAACATACTGGTTTGAAAGCCTTATACTACTTTATATCACTTGCCAGTTTCCACTAATTATAACGCACTACTGTCAAACTACTTCATTCTTTCAGAGAGACAGAAAGACACGAGGCAACATGGATGATTCAATGCAGCCTATGTCTACTATTAAATATAAAACCTCAGCCATTAAATGTGTCACCCTATTCCCTCTGTTACATTCATGATCAAAACTCCAATTCTTCACCAGACTTAAGTCTGCCTGTATTTTTGCACTTTTGGAGCAGCATTTAAAAATCCTTAAAGCTAGTTTGGAAGGATTTTTTTTCCTTTTTCAGTTAGAGCACTTTCATAATATTTTAAAAGCCATAGGAAGTTATGCTGTAGCTTTTAAAGTGCTAATTTTATTATGAGGTGCTGTTTAATAATATTCTTCTGCAAATTAACAAATTATGCACATTTTCCATGACAGACAGACATTGCTTAATGAGTTAATGTGCTTCAGAAAAATGCAATCAAAAAGAAATTCACTGTCAACAGTTTACCCATGGCAATACACAGAGCTGGAATGCAACAACTAACCTCAGATAACTAAAATTAATGCGTATATGACAAAGTTATAATAATCCATATTTAAAACAAACAAACAAACAAGCAAACCCCAAACCAAATAATGATAATTAAATCTCAAACACAGTTTTGTTTCTCAGTAACACAACTGCAAAACAAATCAATATTTTCAACAATCAAGTGCCCTATCTTCATCTCCTCCATCTCCTCAAACTGCTGTGAAGAGGATACAAGAGGAGGGCTGTCTCCCTTTTTGTGTAGAGGGGACTCCTCCTGGGCAACTGTGGGCCACTCTGGGCAAGGAGCAGGAGTCCAGACCAGGGAGGTAGTGACCAGAATCAGTCCCAGCCTACAGGGATTCACCTGGGGACTGGGTGGGAGCCCTCTCTTGCAGAAGTGCCTGGGCAATGGCTCCCATGGAGTCACCAGGGAAAAAGCACCAGCCTCCACACCCCCCTACCACCATCAGTGTCCTGGCTTATGCAAAGCTAATTTCAGCACATGATTTGGTCGAGTACAAACAGTGAGATTGGACTTTACTGGTGTGCTATTTCATGCAGTGATGAATTTTCTGCATTCTGTCTCACTCTGTTGGGCCAGAATGCTGGGAAGTTCCCTCTGAGATTGGGGCAAATTTTGCACTCATACAGGCTCAAATTCTCTCTTCATTTATACCCACAAAACCCTACTGACTACCAGGAGAGCTGAGGAGGTAGAAATGGCAGCAGAATTTGAGTGTAGGAACTGGTGAGTGAGAAGCAAACACAAAGCTATTTCAACCTACAACTCCCTGAAAGGAGTTTGTAGCCAGGTGGGGGTTGGTCTCTTCTCCCAGGCAGCTATCAGTAAAACAAGAGGGCATGGTCTTAAGCTCTGCCAGGGGAGGTTTAGGTTAGATATTAGGAAGAAATTCTTTACAGAGAGGGTAATCAGACATTGGAATGGGCTGCCCAGGGAAGTGGTGGATTCTCTGTCCCTGGAGATGTTTAAGATGAGACTGGATGTGGTACTTAATGCCATGGTCTAGTAACCATGGTGGTAGTGGATCGAGAGCTGGACTTGATGATCTCAGAGGTCCTTTCCAACCCAGCTGATTCTATGATTCTATGATTCATTGCCAGCTACAACAAATACCTATGCACCCGGTGTTTAATTTCATTGCGCATTGTGTGCCTAAGGACTGCAACTGGGCTTTTAAAATCGCAACCCTCAGAATCTAGCTACAGATAACCATAATCTTATATTCTTGGATGCTGATATATAAACCTATGATATACCTGTTTAGTTGCCATGGCACTAATCAGCACAGCTATGCTGAAACAGAGAGATCATGTTTGCTAATTGCAAAGGCAGGCTAGTAGCAAATTTCAAATGATTAGCGAGTAAAGGTCCTCAGAGCAATCCTGCTTAAAAGTAAACATCCGGTAAAATGCAATTAGTGTGTCTTTTTGTTTGTTTGTTTCTTTCTTTCTTCCTCTCTCTTTCTTTCTTTTTTTTCTCTTTTTTTTTTTTATCGAGGTGGTCTTGAACTGCAGATGCAATCACAACGCTCATGGTGATCCAGCTGTATATCAACTAAGGCCATGTTGTTCCTGATTCTGCCTTTTCTTCTGGTATGCCCAGCCTCAGGGATGAATTTCAGCACCTGGGAGGATCAACAGAAATGCATTGATTAGAAAACACTGTTGGAGATCTGAGGATGAGAATGCTGGGGCCCTGAGGGCACCAACAGTCCTTAATGGCCCTGACCAGCATTAATTTGGATACATTTTTGTTTTACTTCCAGATTTTTCTTTGCACTCTTTGACATCTTGCTGTACTGTTTGTCCTGGAGCTTTGACAGACTGGATTATTTTCTACATCAGGTATCTTTATATCACGCAGTCTCCTAACCATATCCAGAGTTGCTCCTTTGCATATGAATTATCAAGCATATTTCCTTTGGCTCATCTTTGCAGTCCCATACATATTTGAGTTGCTCTGCCCCTTCTCTCCATTGTATAATATTTCTCCTCTAAAGAACAAGTAAATTTTTTGTGCAATTTGAAATTTCTGAAGCACATATCATTAGAATTGGCTCAAAAATGAAATACTCGTGGAAGACAAAAGGAGATGAGGGAGCTTGCACAAAATATGTGCGAGATCTCATCGAGTTTCTGTGGAATCTGACTTCTGCTGGCTTATATTAAAAATCTCTGCCTCAACCTAAATGATTACTGAAGAATTTACTATGAATAATCTTAAACAAATAAGTAAACAAAATTATTTCCTAGGTAAGTATACATCATACAAGAGGCTTCTGAAAAAAATCTAGATAGGCAAGATAGAGACCCCTAAGAAAGGGGGTTGTAGGTCACAAAAAAAAAAAAGAGAAAAATGAGAAAGAGGCACAAGTTGCAACCAAAAAAATCCTATTTGAGTACAAGGAAGAAAATACTGAGTGTTTAAAACATTGGAGCAGGTTGTCTAGAGAGGCTGTAGAAACCTTGAAGACAGACAGAATTAACAGGATGAGACCCTGAGCAACCTCATCTAGCTTGCAAATTCTCCCTGCTTTTAATCAGCGATTGGGCTAGATGACCCTCAGAGATGCCTTCCAACCTGTATTATGATATGAAGCTATGATTCTCTGAAAATGATCTTGTGAATATGTGCATAAGACCCATAATGTTGCATCCTATCTAATCTTCTGTGGTAGCATATGTAAACCATGGACTGGAAAAGCTGAGGAGATGGTGGTTTGCAGGGGCATGCTTTGTGAGCCCACCACTGGAGGCTGAGTTGCTGTGTAAGACGTCATACCCACACTAGCATGGGGACATAGGTTGAGGGGAGAAAATCTGTTTTGTTTCATTAGTTTGCTGTTTGTGGTCTACAGTAGTTTAACAAAAGATATATTAATTTATAATTTCAGTCCTGAAGCTTAAATACTAGTTTGGATTAGGCACAATGAATGAGTTAAGATTAAGAACACCCTAAATCTCCTACAGCGTTTTTCTTCCCAAATCTCACAGCACATTGCCCAGAGAGATATGCATAATTATCAAACTTGCTTAGATGGAGAATCTGAAACTGATTTGCTCGAGGCTCTGCAACACATCAGTAGAAAAACTGCCAGTGGCATTACCAGATCCTTTCCATTTTGAATCACTTATTTACTGATGGGGAGCAGGACATGGAGGTAGCAAGGCTACAGCTCCACAGCTGGCGGTAAGCCGGTGGGTAGGTTCAGCTCAGTGTGGCCTCAAGCCCTTCAGTCCAGAAACCATGCACTGGTAAGGTACTCAAGCTAGCATGTCTCACCTCTTGGTAGGCTGATGTGACTCATGCTAGCTAGGCCAAGTGACTGGTAGATCAGCTAGATTTCTCTTTCTTGTTCAAGAGAGGGAGAGACATCTGTTAAGTTATGACCTACCAAGTCACTGGACAAATGGGAAGTGGGACCAAGACATCTTTAGCACCTCAACCTCTGAAACACCTACACTTCTGCCTTAAATAACAGGTCCCCTAACTAGCAGATCATACTGTTACTCAACAATCCTTTTTTTTCTTTACAATGTACTTTCTGTACTTTGACATTGTAACACCATACAAGCATTGAGATGGTTTGGAAAGGACAGAGACTACACACCAGATTAACAAAGCATTTTCAACAGAATTAGAAAATCCCCAGAAATAAGTGTGAATGACTTGCCAAAGGAGAACCATAGATGCTGTGCAGAGTAGTTGGGGAAGGGCAGACAGGTTAGCAACATTTGGGATGATACCATTCATTCTCTACCATTAATGTCTTGAGGCTAAAAAAGTCATGGGATATAACAAAAATGATTAGTGCTGAACACAGTCTATTATTTTGTCCTCCCTTTTGTGATAAACTTTATATTTAGCCTATGTAATACTGAGACGAAGAACTGTGCCTAGGCAAGGTATAGACCTACTGCTTTATTGTGTTGGGAAAATAGAATTACTTTTCCCTCTTAGAAACACAAACAACATGTTTTTTGTTTGGTTTTTTTTTTAAGCAACAAAAATATTGTATCTTTCAAATCATTTGAAACATTGACTGTGTTGATACATGCAATAAATCCTGATGGACACAGGACAACATACTGTACCACACAGTTACCCAAAACACAAAGGAATTGAACCCAATCAGGTTGTTGCAATTACTACAGAGATAAAAATAGACCACAGCTTCAAAGATGCTTTTTTAAAGAAAACATATTTTTAAAATCAAGTACAAATGCTAACACTGAACCCATGATAAAATTCCTTATTTAAAGAACCATTCCAGCAAAATCTGACAAATCCAGATGACTGGCACTTTGCAAGGTCATGGGTAGCTAGACCTGATTTTTCCAATTGAGAGCAAATGAAAGTAGGCAATGGGATGAGAGCAAAGATGTGGACTGTATTTAAGTTAATAGACCATCTGACAGCTTGAGGACTTTCCCTGTGTTTTTTATTAAGAAGCATGAGCACAGTATATGGGCTTTGCTGATAAGAAAATGAACTGTCAGACACTTCACCAGATAGGAAAGCAGTGATTGAACACAGCTGAAATTATAGAATCATAGAATCATTTAGGCTGGGAGAGACCTCTGAGATCATCAGGTCCAACTGTTAACCCAGCACTGCCAAGTCAACCACTAAATTGTGTCCTCTAATGCCACATCCACATGCTTTTTAAACACATCCAGCGATGGTGACCACTTCCCTGGGCATCCTGTTTCAATGTTTGACCACCCTTGCAGTGAAGAAATTTTCCCTCATATCCAATCTAAACGTCCCCTGGTGAAACTTGAGACCATTTCGTCTTTTCCTGTCACTTGTTACCTGTGAGAAAAGACCAATCCCCACCTTGCTACAACCTCCTTTCAAGTAGTTGTAGAGAGTGATAAGGTCCCCCATGAGACTCCTTTTCTCCAGGATGAACAACCCCTGCTGCCTCAGCTGCTCCTCATCAGACCTGTGCTCCAGACCCTTCACCAGCATTACTGCCCTTCTCTGGACTTGCTCCAGCACCTCAATGTCTCTCTTGTAGTGGGGGCCCAAAACTGAACACAGGATTTGAGGTGCAGCCTCACCAGTGCCAAGTACAGGGGGACAATCACTGCCCTGTTCCTGCTGGCCACACTATTGCTGATACAGTCCATGGTGCCATTGGCCTTCTTGGCCACCTGGGCACACTGCTGGCTCATGTTCAGCAGCTGTTGACCAGCACCTCCAGCTCTTTTCCCTCTGGGCAGCTTTCCAGACACTCTGCCCCCAGCCTGTAGCACTGCCTGAGGTTGGTGTGACCCAAGTGCAGGACCCGGTATTTGGCCTTGTTGAACCTTATACAGTTGGCCTTAGCCCATCAATCCAGCCTGTCCAGATCCCTCCGTAGAACTGCTTTAACAGCTGATCACAGAACTGATATTCAAAACTCTCTGTCTCATATCTACCTAATAGTTTTATTTTCAGCTAAATATAAGAGAACTGAAAATTCCCTGGAAGGAAAGGCCATTTCTGGTGACCACAGCAGGTGAAAGAAAACTCTTTATTCTGAAAATAGCTGCTGTTTATCTATCACATGGCCAGGTCCTTAAAGGTGAGGAGCTACTGAATTAATGGAAACAGTTCAAAGAAATCCTGTTCAGGAAACTTTATTGCTCCTTTTTAGATGGGATCAGTAGCTGTAAGAAAATATAGATATGACAAGGTCTGGAATGCTCAAAAGGTTTTTTTTTTGTGTGGGTGGAAAAGAAGAATAACCCTGCAGTTTTCAAATTAAAGAATCAATGTCTGTCACTACTCATCAAACTGTGGTGCCTCAGCTCTTCAGATTGCCTCACAAAGAGCATATAACTACAGCCATATCCCTCTCATCAAACACTGAATAAATTATGATCATAAAACTATTAAAACAGATAAAATCAAGACAGATTATTTAGCTTCTGAGGTGGATTTGTTGTTTATAGGTAATATAAAAAAAGGGGAACAGGACAGGTTTTTTGCAGAAATCCCCATAAGAGCACACCCATATGCTGGATGGCATTTTACTTTGTACATATGCCTGAGCATCTGAGAAGTTTCAAGGTGAGATGACTGTAGCCACTGCATAACTTCCCTTTGGAGTGGTGCTGTAGGAAATATAAAGAAAATGCTTACAAAAATTTCCTTGCTAGCAATCTTGTTCATTGATCACGTATTGAATTTGGATGCCAGCTTTTGAAAACCTCTTTAAATGGGAGAGCAAAGCCATCGCAAAACCCAGGATCTGGAAGCTGAAGCCAGAAGACATTGAAGTGGAATTAGGGCACACTTGTTTAAGTCAGGCCAACTCATCACCTTGACAGCTCTCCAAGGAACTCTGGGGTTTCCAGCCTGTTTGAGGGTTGCCTTTCCAAGAGGTGTACAGTACCAACTTGGGTCATGCTCTGGGGGCAGCAGGGTGCTCTCCAGTGTCCTGTGGAGCACAGGAGGTCAGGGCTGACGGCCTGTATCATCTCAGCAGGTCTGTAAGAACACTTCAAGATCAGGGGCTGAGGAGAGCAGAGTGGTGATGACTGCCAGGAAAAGGACCCAGCTGGAGATAACCTGTTCACCCTGACCCATATCTGGCATGTCTCCAGTAGAAGCCACAACAAAGCAGCGACTCCA